AGATATTTTTTGACTCCGTTTTGGATGCTTTTTGTCAAAGAAAAGTGGCAACACTACTTGCACCACATGTTTGATGCGCCCATGACTTCAAGTTATAATTATACAAGGAGACTCCCCGTGTGGGTTCCGGGGCTCTATTAAGGGAAAAAATTAATAGACCCACTGCCTACCTCAAGCGTGTCGTAAGAGTCGACTAACTGGGAGCTTCTTTCGAAGTCGGAGTGCATCTGACTGAGAGGCAAGGAACAATTGAGCCAGATCTGTTAAAGGATGCACACGCAACATTCCGGAACTGAAACAGGACTGCAGTCCAGAAGTGGACGAACAACCAGAACTTTCCACCGAGTTTACAGCCACAAAGAAGAAGAAGAAGACGAGGTGACTCCATTTGGTAAATTTAGTCATTGTGTTGTATAAAAATGAGGGGTCGCTGGCCGAACCGGTAATGACGTAGGGCTCTCATGCCGGGCACCCAAGTTCGAATCCTCGGTCTTTTTTTTTTTTTAAATAATTATTTTTAGTGTACACCTGCTGTAAACTTGGGCTGAAACTTCTGCTGGATTGTTCACTTCTGGACCTATGTCTTCTTGCAGAACTTGCCAAGTGCGTGCACTGCCGGTTTACTTGTACAAATCTGGCTTATTCCTATGCAGACTTGGTCACACACCTCTGAGGTAGATGAACTTTAACCTGAAAAGAAACATCTCAGAATTAGTTGACTTCTTCGGCATGTTTATTATTTGGCAGTGCCCCCCCCCCACCCCGCCCACCTCCTCCCGGGCCACACTAGATGGAACCATAAACCCACATGGGGAGAATCCTCGGTAAGACTGAGATTTATGTGTCTGCTGGGGCACAAATAAAATCCCAATAATCCTGTCTGCACATTTCGTGGCGACAGCACTAGTCATGCCCTACACCATCAGATATGGTAAATACCAGCGGTAATGGCCGTTTCCCCCCTAAATGGAGATTATATATATATATATATATATATATATATATATATATATATATATATATATATATATATATATATAGACACACACACACACACACACACACACACAAAAGCTGACAAAGCTGTTAATAATTTTCATTTGGCTGCACGCTAAATAAAATCTGGCAAGTTCGAGAGGATAAAGAGGACGGGGCAGGAAAAAAAAAGTCTCTTAGTTTTCCGCCCTCTGGTCTTGCCAGCCGCCCTAGGGACAGGTCATTTCACCCTTCGTCGTGGCGTACTCGTGGCGTACTCGTACACGGATTTTAACGAATCGTGGGTTTACAGAAGTGAGCGGAGATAGATGGGTTATTTCACTGATTTCATGGTGATGATACGTTAAATAGTTAGATGTTGTTAGGTCTAAATTTCCTTCAGTAGTTAGTTTGTGTTGGCTCTTTATTTACACGTGTACCTTCGCTTGGTGATACTTTTATTTCTGGTCGCTGGGAGTGAACTTTCACCTTTATTTTTTAAAGGGCTTAGCACATGGTCTGTGTGAACACGATGTTGATTGTTAATGTATTGTTATCTGTGAAGCAGGTTAGTTTTGTGATCAGGAAAATAAACAGATATTTAGTGTGATGATTATAGTTCCATTTGTTTTGATTCAGAATATGATTCGTAGTTAGTGTGCTTAGTTTTCCAATAACTGCTAATTAGACTTCATACAGAACATATCCTGTCAGGCTAGGATAAAATAGGTTTTAGTCCCCGCCTAACATTTTTTCCGTTACTCGTTGTTACTAAAGCAGCTTGGTGTTGGTTTCGGCTTCCAATCGCCACGATATTCTTTGTTGGAGCTCTTATATGCTTGGAGTAGAGATAAGTTCGAGGATTTATCCTATTATTCTTTTTGTCTCTCCTCTTTCGTTTAGGCAACATTACCCCAAGTCATTGCTTTTAGTACAAGTTGCGTCGGGAGCTCAGGATAGGTGGCAAGGGAGTTGTTTTGTTTGTCAAGTCAAGTCGGTTCAGACTGACATCGTGATTCATACTTTAGGTTGGTTTTGAAATGGCCCCAAAGTGTGAAGTTTCTATACTGCAGACTTTGGGTATGTGTGTAATTAGATGATACGCAACACTCTATTTAATGGTGAGTGGTTGGTGTCTTTTGTTCAAAAAGAAGTGGTTTGTGTTTTTCTTCACTTAGGAGTGGGTCGTTCTATTGTTAACGGAGTGGTAATGAGTCAGCTGATCGAATAGTGTTTAAAACTTAAATGCCTGTGTTTACGACATGTTTAAATGATTATCGCCATCTTTGATTACATTTCTTGCATTGGAAATGTGCGTTAATGATCTTGTTTCCCTGAGACGAGCCATGCTGTGCTCCTCGTGTGCCAGTGGTAGTTTTTTTCGTCTTGGAGTGTGTGTTCATGTTGCTGCGAGTAACTAGTGACGTATATTATGTCATGAAAATATTTTATTTTAGTTGGCTACGACCAGTAACTTTGTGGAATGTAGAACAGAAGCTGGGGAGGGATTGGTAGAAATTTTTCA